TAAAGTTGTAATAAAATGATTTTTATACCCTTTCTCAAACAAAAAAGTAGAGGGTAATTTTAGTCCAAAAAAATTACATTGCATTTACACTTTTATATATAGTATAAATTTGAAATAAGAAGACTAATATTGTAATTTAWTTTTGGCTTTGCCTATTTGTAGTGCAATTTCATTTGYACTAGCACAAATACATGAGAATATAATTGTGTAAGAAGAGTGCAAATTCTAATTCACGTTTGCTTCAAATTTTATTTTATTACTTTGCTTTAGGTTTTATTTACATATAGACCAAAAAAATGTAAAACTTAAAATTAATATAAACTAGAATTTATACCCATAGTTTTGCATTAATGCAAATGAAATTGCAATGCAAACAAATGAGACTCATTTCCCGTACCTCCATTATCATAGGGATGCGTGGTGACCATATCAATAACTTCTGGGTCATCATAAATATTTTGTTAGGATATGTGAACTATTCATGATTTACAAAATCATCAAGGCCGTTGATTTTCTCTTTCCAGCCCTAATAACCATCCTTATCCTACCATTAGGTAACATGATTCAAAGTTTGAACTCAATTGCAGATCCATCCAAATCCAAATCTGCATCCATCTGATGGGGGAAATGGGTTGAATATGGGTCATATCCTAGCAAGAACCATGGGATAGATCTATTTTATGCATTCAGATGGGGGAAAATATGAAGCTCCATTTCATACCCTAAGATTTAGGGGTGTCAATTGGATTGGATTTGGTCCAATCTGATTCAGGTTCAATCCAACCTAATGAATATTTTTGATTAATTTGGACCAGTTCAATTTAATGTTTGRACCGTCTAATCTGTTCAAATTCATTTTGATTTAGATTGGTTTCAACTTAAACCTAGTTCATTGACACATATATTCTTATCTTATATCAATRGACCAAATATTGTTGGCTTAATCTAACCCAATCCAATATAAATTTGTTATAAACGGATCAGGTCCAATCCAATAATGTCTTATTAGTCCATCCAATCCAGTTCAAATTGATTTTGGACTAAACGGGGTTGAATCCAAAATCGGTCCATTAACACCCTTACTAAGATTGAGATACAATACAACTTTCAGGTGATGATGGGTGGGTGAATTTCAAAGTCATTACTCAAGAAAACATTTCTTAGCTTGCAACCTTAGACCCCAGTGAAATGCAAACGCACCAAGATTTGAAATAAAAGATCAGTTGCTATGATGCCTTAAATTTTAATATATTGTAAACGTTGACATATTCATGTGAAGTTGTAGAAACTGTTAAGTCTCACGAGTCCAGATGGGCAAAAGAGATTTAAGGGTCACAATATCATCCATCCAAATGATATTTGACAATTCAACACGTCCTTTAAGGGTCACAATAAAACATTAATCAACTGATGTGCCAATTTGGAAAATTTTGTTCCTTGCTTATACTTCTAGAAGTATTCACGAGAGGTGGGGTTTGTGGAATATGTTCCTTTATCTAGAATAGAAGCAAAAGCGCGGAGAAAGAATCAAAGTCGGGTTGATGATGTACATGTAGGGGGGGGACTTAATCCAGGTTTCTTTAATTTCCTGAGAATATATGCTTGCCAGAGTTGCTCCCTTGCCCTTATAAATACAATTCATCTCCCTTCTTCCACCATCCACGCCACGCAGAGACATGTCCAAGATCGAGAGCATCATGTGGCAGGCTATGGAGACAGCGCCCCCGCCGATTATATGCGTGGRAAGGAGGCCATGTTTCGAGAAGAGGTTGGAGCCAATTCAGGAGGAGAGCGAGGGCCAGAAATGCCATGGGAAGCAACTTGGTTCTGAGGCGTCCAGGGTTGATCTTGCAAAGAGACGAYCACCTGTGCWGGGCAGGGTGAGGGACTGAATATAACTATGTATTACTTTATGCTTTGATAAGCTAATTTTATTGTATCTTGTATATAAAGTTYTATCTATAAATTCATATGCACTGATCTAAAATTTGACGTATATTTTCTTCTGGGTTATGTTCAATGTATATATTAAGAAAAAGGCTATTACCCGATGTTGGTCTCAGCTATTTGTGGTCTTGGGAGAGAGGCTGGATAAGATATTGACTTTTGACTCTTTTTTTTCACAAAATGAAAATTTTAGGGCAAGTTCGAGTTTGGATTTACTACTGTGATCACCGGTTTTTTGTGGGGAGATGTTTCCAATATACAGCGATAGTGT